CTTCTCTGTAGCTGCTCCGGCCCTATGGAACGATCTCCCCGTTGAGATCCGGACCCTTCCTACCCTTCCGGCCTTCCGCAAAACAACGAAGACCTGGCTGTTCCGGCAGGCCTGGGGCTGTTGATTATCCAGCCCCATCTTAAGTTATGAATGTTGTCGAATTTTAATGTTGTTTGTATTCTTGTATGTCCTCCCCTTTCCTTTTTTACCTGTAAGCCACCCAGAATCTTCCGAGATTGGGCGGCATACAAACCAAATAAATACAAATACAAATAAATAAACCAGGTGGCTCAATGGCTAAGATGCTGAGCTTGTCGATCAGAAAGGTCGGCAGTTCGGTTCGAATCCCTAGCGCTGCGTAACGGAGTGAGCTCCTGTTACTTGTCCCAGCTTCTGCCAACCTCGCAGTCGAAAAGCATGTAAAAAAGAGCAAGTAGAAAAATAGGGACCACCTTCGTTGGGAAGGTAACAGTGTTCCATGCGCCTTCGGCTTTTAGTCATGCCACATGACCACGGAGACATTTTGGACAGCGCTGGCTCTTCGGCTTTGAAACGGAGATGAGCACTGCCCCCCACCCCTAGAGTTGGGAACGACTAGCACATATGTGCGAGGGGAACCTTTACCTTATGCCATGGAGGACTTTACGAGTGATGACAGCACCTTGAATTATACCTGGGAACCAATGTAGTTTGCAGAAGTTAATGGCATTATGAAAAATGCCCAAGACTGCTTATTGCAACATTCTGGAACGACTGCAGCTTCTTAGTGCTCTTCAAGGGCAGCCCCATGTCGATTGTGTCACAGTAATCCAAATGTCTCTTGTAGTGACTGCAAGGACAGGGGACTTGAGAAAACCGAGAAGGATGGTGCTTCTGAGTTTGTTGTTCGGACCCGCAAAAGAAAAGCGGACGTCGTCGTAGTAAGTACCCAACTGTAAGGGATTGTTCTCTGTTGCAAAATAAGCACGTAGCTGTCTTGAGTGGAGTAAGATGGTGGTATGATCCAAGGCAACTGGAGAATGCAGGGTTGATGGAAACGGGAGGGAGGGAGAGAAAGAGAGAGAGAGGGAGAGAGAGAAGGATTTATTGACCACTAACCATACTGCATCAAGGGACACTGTGGCTCAGTGGCTAAGATGCTGAGCTCGTCGATCAGAAAGGTGGGCAGTTCAGCCGTTCAAATCCCTAGCACTGCATCACAGGGTGAGCGCTCGTTACTTGTCCCAGCTTCTGCCAACCTAGCAGTTCGAAAGCANGATTCTCACTGGCTCAAAGTTGATTCAGCCTTCCATCCTTCCAAGGTTGGTAAAATGAGGACCCAGATTGTTGGAGGCAACATGCTGACTCACTTAGAGAGGGCTGTGAAGCACTATGAAGCGGTATATAAGTGCTTATGCTACTGAATGGGAGGAAAACTATATTTTACCGTCCCACCGCTCCTTGTTAACACCTTCATTTTTCCTATGTCTTTTAAAGAGAAACAACAAACAGAAAGCATTTACCTGGCAGTGCCCTGACATGGACCATGCCAAGGACAACCGATTTCAGCCGCCCGAAAAGCTGTAGAAACTTCTGCATCTGGAGAGAAGAGAAAAACATTGACATCAACTCCTGTCCAGCCAGCTGCCTTTAAAGGTCTATATACCGTATTTTTCAGTGTATAAGGCACACCTTTTTCCTTCAAAAAAGAGGGTGAAAATTTGCACAAATGGCCATGCATACCCTTTAGGAGGTTTGTAGAGTGCTTCTGGGGGCTGGGGAGGGGACAAATGAGCAAAAAATGGGCTAACCGGAACCTCCTAAAGGCTATGCATGCCCTTTTTTTCCCCCACGTTTTTCGTGAAAAACGGGCCATTTTTGGAAGATCTGCAGACTGCAAAAACTTTTTTTTTAATTTACCTCTTCAAAATCTTGGTGCGTCTTATACTCCAGTGCGTCTTATACTCCGAAAAATACAGTAATCCTTTGGACAAAGCTCTTAGGATGATATGTATCCAGACAAAATTAAAGGTAATAAAAATGGAGGACAGTTAAATGTAATTTAACAAAGAGCGGTCATGGACAGAATTTAGTACAGCTAATCCTCGACTTACAACAGTTCATTTAGTGACAGCGACCTTGGCAACTGTTTCATATTTATGACGCTTGCAGTATTTCTGTGGTCATGCAGCCACCTTTTGTGACCTTTTGACAAGCAAAGTCAATGAGGAAGCTACATTTGCTTAACAACTGGGCTACTAACTTATCAACTGCAGTGATTCACTTACCAACTGGGGCAAGAAAGTTCATAACATGGGGGCAACACTCACTTAACAAATGTCACACTTAACCATGGAAAGTTGGGGCTCAGTTGTGCTCATAAGTCAAGTATTGCCTGTATAGTAAACATTTGAATTTTAAAACTAATTCAGGCCAGGAAAAAAACCTGTCTCGTAACATATATACCAGCTGCAGCCTTTTAAACATGCAGAGGACAATTAATTCTAACACTGAAAAAGGAACTGGAGCTGCTGGTCTATTTTGGGAAAATGATGCGATGCCATGATGATTGGCACCTCCCGCCAGCAGATGGGCTGGGGGGGGGGGGTTTGCAATTCCTAAGCCCAGTTCAGGAGTCTGCAACCCGCAGCTCTGGGAGCCACATGTGGCTTTCATCCCTCTGCTGTGGCTCCCAGTCGCTCAAAATATGCGTCACAACTGCCAATGTGCAATACATGCCAGCACACGATTTATTGAGGTTTCCGACTCATCTTCCCCCCTCTTCCGAGTTCAAAATGTTTTTGTTGCATGCAGAAATAAACATTTGTTTTCTCTGTAGCAGTTCATTGATTTCATAAAGGCAACACAATATCTATATCTATATCATCTATATCTATATCTATATCTATCTGTCTATCTATCTATCTATCTATCTATCTATCTATCTA